TAACAGATTGACTGAAGTATATTGACTGTAAACAATGTAAACAAAGATGTTAGTATAGAGTTTCAAAACTAATAAAAGCAAAACCATCTAATTTTGAAATGAAGATTTCTAACTAATTTTTTTTCCAGATACTCTGCAATAATCATGTAGTGGTCTCATAAAAAGAATTAACAGTTACTTAAAAAAATATATACTAGCTGGTTCCCTTAAAATAGTTCATAGTGAACATGTTCTTAGTTCTAGTTTCTTTGCTTTCTCAAAATTCTAAGTTGGGGGCCTCCCTGATGGTGCAAGGGGTTAAGTCTCAGCACTATGAAGCTGTTGGCAGCTACTGTAGCATGAGTACTGATACTGATCCCTGGCCAGGGAGGTCACCCACATGGTGCAGCAGACCTCTCCTGTTTCACCTGCTGCTCCCTTCAGGAGTGTATTTTAGTCAGCCCACCTGTTCTGCTCCCCTCTCTGTCTCATGAATCCTCTCACTGCCCCTCCTCTCCTCTTCCCCTCACCTCTGGCCTACACCCCAGTATTGATATGCATAAATAAATAAAGAAGACAGCAAAGTATATCTAGTTCCTCATATGTTCTCTTAAAAGTAAGCAATGTGTTAATTCATTTGAAGTTATAAGAATCTGATCAAATATAAATGTGGTTGTAGAAGGGAGTGCTATTTTAATAGATTGTTAGATAATTATGGATAGCTTTTGTTAGGTTTTTAATTAGCAACAGAATTTAACAAGTGATGTTTACCATGGGGAATCTGGAAACTACGTAATGGACATTTTGTAGTTTTATTACATTTAAAATTCACTGGTCTTTCATGAGTCTTAGTTATGTATGATTTGGTGACATGTTGCTATGGTTATTTCAAAAATTTTGATCACTCACTTAACACAAATCTTTTAAATATTGACACTTTGGGAAGCTATCAAGCACCAGTGGCAGATATGAAAATTTAGATTCTGATTTTTATGTTTATAATTCATGTTATAAACATACTTGAGTTGTATCTCATTTTCACAAATTTCAAATAAGTTTTCATGGATAATTTTCAACCTCTTTGTGTATTTAATGGTGACTGTGGATAAAGTGCTTTTCAATTGAAAAGCATTGCTTATACTAATACCTAAGTATAAAAAAGGCATATTGTAATTAGGAGCTATACTATCATTCTACTTAACTTGTGGGCATAATTGAAACTTGCAGACATTGAAAGCAGATATTACGATCCTTGAATTTATCATTAATTCAAAACTGTTTTGTGTTTCTATGATTTTTTTTCATATGAGATAACAATAATTTTAAAATAACAGAAAGTAAAAAAAATAGTAAATTAACTCACTTGACACCCATATGAAGCAGAAGATCTTAACTACATTTAAACTATTTCTTAATGGTACATGGAAATAATTTCAATTGAGTTTGGCTACACTTACAATGTTCCTGAGTGCTCTAAAGTTCTGTTTGGGGAGACAAATGTTATGGAAATAATAATTTCTAAATTTTAACAGTATAGAATTCTAAAAAGAATGTTCATTTTTAGAATGTTCACCAACTTATCAGGTTAAAATGTTTGAAGCTTTTCTTAAAGGTTCAATCTGCCAAAAGGAAATTATTTTTGTTGTTAATTGCTATTTTTCACTCTTTAATTATCATAGTGGAAGCTAATTTTATTAACCCTAGAGCCATGGACCTTTTCCTAATGATAAAACCTGTTTTTGAAGAAAGAGGTCAAACTAGTTCTGTACTCCAAGGTCTTATTTCTCAAAGCTTTGCCATCATCCAGGAATGATTTAGAAGTGCAGAATTTCACATCCCTCCATAGAACACTATTATCTATACATAATATGCCATTTTGAAACTAAACAAAATATGTGATAGAG